TGGGCAGCCCCTCTATAGAGGCTCCCCTGTGAGTGACAAGCATTTCCTCCTCTGCTTTCAATGGGGGTGAGGGAGATTCCTCCAGGCCTCCTTTCATTCAGTTTTTGTTTTGCTGGTCTGAATGGCATGTATAATCTCACCCCATCTAAAAGCAAAAATAATAGCAGGGAACAAGGGAGACTATGCCTGGCTAGTAAAGATGGGGTTTCCACGGCAATCTTGTGGACATTTCCCATACGTTTCTTCCCAGGGAAGAGGATTTTTTTTCTTAAAGGATGCAGATTTGGAGATAAGAAGAGCAGGTTGGAGCAGAGAATATAACAAGATGCTAAGCCTACGGAGATGTGGTCGACACAGGACACAGGAAGACTAGGAGGCTGACCTGTGCTCATAATAACATCTTCATTTTCTATTACTTTGCCTATTTTGAAAAACACTGGAGGAGTTCATCATCACCAGGAGTCAAGCCTAACTTGAAGGCAAATAGTAATAATCATAATATCTGCAAGAAATATTACTTGCCTGCAAGAACGAACTGGTGAGGCCACAAAGTAGATGGAATCATAAAAGAAATGATGAAACTAAATGAGTCTGTGACTTTAGAATCCAAACAGACAAACACCTGCCACATAACACCCCAGACTTAACAATTGTCAATAAGAAAGACAAAAAAGTCTGGATAGCGGATGTGGCAGTACCCAGAGAAAGCAGAATAGAATAGAACATAACAAGAAGCAATGGATGGACAAGAAGCAACAGATGGAAACTCATCAAGGAGAGAAGGAACCTAGAAGTAAGAAGAAATTTCCTGACAGTCAGAACAATTAACCAGTGGAACAACTTGCCTCCAAAAGTTGTGAATGCTTCAACACTGGAAGTTTTAAAGAAGAGACTGCACAACCATTTGTCTGAAATGGTATAGGGCAGTGGTGGCGAACCTATGGTACGGGTGCCAGGGGCGGCACTCAGAGCCCTCTCTGTGGGCACATGCGCCGTCGCCCCAGTCCTAGGCCTTCATCTGGGTTTCATAAAACCTTTTCGCTTTAGGCCTCTGCCTCCGTGTGCAAAAAAAAAAAAAAGGTTCAACCAATCAGTCAATTTCAACTTCTCGCGGAAAAAAAAAGATCTTGCAAAGTTGGAATTGATTGATTGAACTTTTTAGTCCCACCCAGTCTGCCATTACCACCGTAGCCACGCCCACCCAATGGGCCACGCCCACCCAATGGGCCACACCCAGCCAATGGGCCGACGATGCATAAGTGGGTTTTGGGTTGCAGTTTGGGCACTCGGTCTCTAAAAGGTTCGCCATCACTGGTATAGGGTTTCCTGCTTGAGCAGGGGGTTGGACTAGAAGATCTCCAAGGTCCCTTCCAACTCTGTTATTCTATTCTATTCTATTCTAAAATAAAAAGCTCTGCAAATAGAAATATAACGACTATGGCAAAAGCAAGCAAAAGCCCAACGCTAGAGCTCATGTCACACCTCCAATAAGCTACCTCAGTATCCATGGCAGGTTTCATGCAGAGCTTCTGAAGAACATCAACTATGTCTTTCATTTCCTCCTCTTTGGACAATGGTGCCCTTTTCTCTTTTTCATAGAGCAGGCTGCTTTCATAGAGGTCACTAGTGGTTACTAGAGAAATGAAACCCGCATTACATTACAGAGATGGGAAATACACAGAAAGCATCGTTCAAAGATATTTGTTCCCTAACATGGAGCAATAAATTCCATTCATCTTCCTTGGTGAATGGAAGTACCCAACCTATTTTATTTTGGGATCCAACGAGAAGCAACATCTCCAACCACTGTCCAGAAACAGTGAATTAAAGCAGTAACAAATCACTTTTCTTTGGCTCTACCCCATAGAAGGGTTGGCCATGCAACAGTCATCCCATTAATTTGTTCTTGCTTGGAGGCATCAACCAACCTTTTTCCTGGGATACGCTATGAACTTCAGTTTGGAAGAGCTTCAAAACTATCCGAGTGTGCATTTTAACTCCACTGCCCTTCCTTGCAGGAGGTGTAACGAGGTGGGACTCCATACATTTGATTTCTGCAAGTGTTCCCTTTTCCTCAAATCTCTGGACACATTCAGATTTGGAAGACAGAAGCTGCTCCTGGGAGTGAAGCAGACCTGTGTGATCGAGTGTATCAGTGATGCGGATCTAATCAAAGCCATTTTAGACAACACAAAATGGAGGCCAATTATGCTTCATTTAGTGATGCTATTTCTAACCGACATCACAGTTGCTAAAAACCATCCCAAAGCAGGACACAATTAAAGGGGGGAAAATGACAACAGGGTCAGTTGTAATAATGTTCAACCTCAATAAATAACTTGTGAATTTCAATTCAATAAAATCCAACATATTTAATACCTTATCCCCTCCACAACATATAATGTCATAAAACATGACCGAACGGGACTCTGGTGATTCCCAAAATGTGGGATCCCCTTTTATTTATTTATTGAATTTGGATTCTAATTGGTGGTTCACCTTACATATACAGTTAGACCCTTAGTTGAATGGAGAAAAAGGCACTGTCTGTTATTCCCAACAGTCTGTTAAATCCAAAAATGCATCATTTGTATTGGTTACATCAATTCCATCATTAGGTTGTGATGCAAATGATGTAAATAATCTAGACTGTTCTGGATACCACAGATTTAGCTGTGAAATTTCAAAAGTGTGCAGATGGCAGACCTGAATGTTATATGAAAAAGCCATCAAACAGAAGAGATGGTTTTTATACAGTGACGTAGACCTGATCCACAGCCAAACAAAATAGGGGGAGAGTAAGAATGCCTTGTTGCATGAATGAACACCAAGGACGACCCATACCTGATATGGCTGCACATTTAGCCAACTTGACATGTCCTTCTAATTTCTAGACTCTGCTTCCAAACTCACACTCACTAGCCCTGATGATGTTACCTAGTTTGGGTAATGAAATGTTTGCAAACATGCAACCAAGCTCAGATAATACTCCACAGTATCTAAACTTTTTAAGTGCTTTGTAATCAGCAAAGAAATTAAGCTTTGGTGCCATTGTCCTCACCAATGCGTTGGGAAGAGCCACAGATCTCAGGAAAGTAAATGCAGAAAAATGATGAGAACACAAGTTGAAATCTTTGGTCTTCAGAAGGACGATACCTTTCTGTTGGTACTGAGTGGGACATTTCCCTGAAATATCCACCTGAAGTAACAGCATGTAAGGAAAACAAAGTCAGGATTACTGTCCTTAGTTACCCACAATGTAATTCTTGCCCATAGCTTAATGGAAAGAAATGAGATAGGTAAGAAACGGCACTAAATTGGTAAAATGGGATCCTTCTGAACATAGTCTTATGAATGGGCTAAACTACACTTTGCGATCTAAAGAACTTCACCTCATCCACACTGTTGTTGACAGCAGCTCCCAATGGTGATGTCTGGAGAGCACTGAGGATACCCCGTTTGATGTTTAGGGCCCACATTGATTCATTTTTCTGAGGAAAGATCTTCAGAACTTTCCCATTATGAAAACAAAACCACAGTGGGTATCGCTCCAATATTTCCCTGGAAGACAATAAGAAGAAGATTTTGTAAGCTAAGGAAATGTGGATACACTGAAGAAGGTGAAGACCTAATCCTCTGGAGTACTCTACAATGTTTGGGAAGGGAAGAGAAGAAGACAATGACCAACACATGGGAAGGAACTCAATCATAGTGAGCCATTGGAAGACCTGATCATGGAGAAAATCTATCTACGTGGACTTTTAGAGTTGACACTAACTCGAGAACACATACCGTAATCAATCAATCAATCAATCAATCAATACAAATATGTAATTCTCTGCAGAAGGCTGAAAAACTGGGAAAGGTGAAAGGAAAGAGAAGAAGAGGTTGACCAATAGCAAGATGGATGGACTTAATTACTGTATAATTAAGGAGGCACTGAGGGAAGGTTGGAATCCTAGAGTAGCATTCTACTTAGTAAATTCTTGCCCATCTTGCTCAAAGATTGTTTTTTGGACCCAGAGCTGTTTTACCTTAAATTGTCATTTTCATTCATCAACTTCACATCGGATTCAAAGATGGTTTTGATTTGTACTCCTTGCAACTAGGGACAAGAACAGATGTCAACACAATACAACTCTCAAATGGTTCAAGATAGATAGAGATAGATAGATGATAGATAGATAGATGATAGATAGATAGATAGATAGATAGATAGATAGATAGATAGATAGATAGATAGATAGATAGATAGATAGATAGATGATAGGTAGATAGACAATAAATAATCTTGGATGGATGGATGGATGGATGGATAGGAGAGAGGGAGAGAGAGAGAGAGAGAGAGAGAGAGAGAGAGAGAGAGAGAGAGAGAGAGAGCTAGGATGGATAGATAGGTGGGTGCGTGGGTGGGTAGATAGACAGATAGACTATGGAAAATAGTCCATAGAGCAATTTCTGAGACTTGAATTCAGAGGAGATCTGCCTTTATTGTATGATAATTTTAGGGTCTTTAATACACACATACAGCTGCCCTACCCCAATTGCTTTTATTTCCAGGGAAGAAAACGAATGCTCCCTCAAATGGTTCAACCCACTTGATTGTACTACTCACTTTTAAAATTCGATGACAATTTGCCAACACCTTGACCACAACTGTACTTTCCAGGGTGATGCCACTTCTCTGGTAGGCCCTTCCTTGAAGGAACGTAGTGGTAGATGTTGAGTAGCTATAGCTAAATCTGGATCCCACGGAAACAGTGCTAAAACCTGTGAAAGCAAAGCTGGGTTCTGAGACAGTGTCTTCATGGCGCCCAGTTGTTTAAAGCAGCTTTGGAGGAGAACTTTTAGGTCAGGGGTCCCCAACCCCCGATCCATGGACCAGCACCGGTCCACGGCATGCCAGAAACCGGGCCGCCCAAACAAGCGAAGCCCCATCCACAGGATGTAGGCAGCACGCGAAACCACGCCTCCTGCAGTCCACGGAAAAACCTCTCTCCATGGAACCGGTCCCTGGTGCCCCAAAGGTCGGGGGGCCACTGTTTTAGGTGGATGCAATAAATTACTCCATGTGATCAGGCATTAGAGAATATTAGACAGAGAACTTTTGCAACTCTTCCTGAGTATCCACAGGACACGGTCAAAAAAGTGAAGATGGCAGCTATGAAGATGCAATCAAAGCTCTACCCATTTTGATTGCCTTATTAATTTCTAAACATTTCAAGATAATTTTTTGGAATGGGGCATTAGAATGGACTGCCTTGGGAGTTGCAAACACCAGCAGGAATATGATGTTCTGATCTTTTGGGGACGGAGAAGATGTCCTACGTTCCTGGGATCTCATTTTATGAAGTCCTTAGCAAGCTATCGACTCAGAAGAAGAAAACAGGAGAGGTGCCCACCAAAGGTTTGCACTGGTCCCATTCAAACCAACCCACCAGGGTTCAAACCCTGCATCCTTCTGAAGGTGTTAACATGTCTAACACCCCTGTGTTTCAACTTAAGGTTTAGCTCTTACACGGACTGCACAAATTCAGATGGCTGATATTTGGATTAATCAGTGACGGGACATGGAAGGGACTAGCAGATTCATATCTCTTATATTTGCTGGTGTTTTCTTACTGAAAATTTGCTTCATCCTCTTACCTGCACACTGGGATGAACAAGAGTATTTGTGCCGGAAATTTTCTGGGCCTCCTGCAACGATAAACCAATAGCAATGGTCGGGAAAGCATTTGCAAGCTTTTTGACTTGGGGATTCTGCAACTGTTTATTTACCGTAGGTCTAGGAAAACGTTCAAGGAGCAACCTAACATTTGCAGAAAGTCACGCCGGTCGTCTTGGAAACCGCCACATTTATGCAAGGATGGGATGAATGGATTCAGGAGAGGGGGAAACAGAACAAGTATCTGTTGTAGCGGCACTGACTCCCAGCTTCAAGGCCAGAAGGATTGAGGCATCAACCACTTGTCTGATTAACCTTGGAGGGGATCCAAGGCCTCCCCTCCCTTCTAAATAAATCATCAGCTGGAGGACTTCACATCAGCAAACTACAGCTAGTTCTCCACTTACGACCACCATGGAGCCCAGAATTTAGGTTGCTAAGAGAGACGTTGGCTAAGCGAGCTTCGCCCCATTTTACGACTTTTCTTGCCACGCTTGTTAAGGGAATCGCTGAATTGTTAACTTAGCAACACCGTTGTTAAGTGAATCTGGCTTCCCCCAATTGATTTTGCTGGTCAGAAAGGTCGCCCAAGGGGACCACACGATCCCAGTGATACCGCCACCGTCATAAACACGAATCGGTTGCCAAGCGTCTGAATTTTGATCACGTGACCTGGGGGACGCTGCAACGGTTGTTAAGTGGGAAAAATGGTCGTCTTTTTTTTCCCCCCCGGTGACCTTGTAACTTTGAACAGTCACTAAATGGGCTGTTGTAAGTCGAGGACTGCTTGTGCGGGTTCACAGCCAGGGAAAAGTTGGAAAACGGGGAAACGGAGGTGGTATTGCAGGAGGCGGACCCAGATGGTGAAATTCTAGCCAGGAGCCCTTTTGTTCAGAGGCTGTGACCCGAAGGTTTTAATCTCTTCATTGACACCCCCTCCTCCATCTCGTTCCTGCAGCCTCCAGAAAACCCCACTATTTTATTCGCATCTATTTGGAGAAAAAAAGACCTCTATGTCCTCAATAAAATAAGAGGACCAGGGTGGGTTGTATAACCATGGTAGGAACTGTCTAACTAAAGGCAGGAGCGGTTTTTCCTCTGATCCAGATGTTGTTCTCTTGATTCCACCCCGTTTCTGCGTTCCAGCCACTCTCTTGTCACCTATCACAAAGTATAAATTATCTCTGGAGGATCAAGAACGAGTTTAACAAGTGCTGAAAACTGTTTTCTGTAAAATTCAGAGGGGAAAAAAAAACCAATCTGGGGAAAAGCAAAATGTTATTCTGTGTGTTCCTTCCAGGAGACACAATTAAGGGCCTTTTCAACTACCAGTTTGGGGAAAATCCAGTTCTTCCAACATCTGGGTTGACAAAACAATTTATTCAAGTCAGATTCTCTCTGTTTGTTTGTTTTTTCTCCCCCCCACAGCTTAAATTCAGCTTGTCCTATTGCTGTAAGCTTTTCTTAATGCTTGGGTGAGACCTTTAAAAGTTTTTTTCGCCGAAGTTCGTATAAAAAAATAGGCAGGCATGCACCCTGGCTAATATACATTTGCTTGAATGCCATTTTGCAGACAAATATGCAGCGTTCACACCCTCCTAAATACAATAAATTTTGAGCAAGCCTCCCTAACATACATGTTTAAAAAAACTATTTTCTATACAAATTTTCTGGGTTTTTTTGTTTTATAGTTTTATTAGAGTTTTGGGATACAATAAATGCACACAGAAAAGATAGTGAGAAAAAGAAAAAAAAGGAACAAAAAGAGAACACATTTATTTATTGAATTTGGATTCTAATTGGTGGTTCACCTTACATATACAGTTAGACCCTTAGTTGAATGGAGAAAAAGGCACTGTCTGTTACTCCCAACTGTCTGTTAAATCCAAAAATGCATCATTTATATTGGTTACATCAATTCCATCATTAGGTTGTGATGCAAATGATGTAAATAATCTAGACTTTTGCTGTTCTATTGAGTAATTATCATCTCATTCTTTTCTCCATCCTGTTTAGCCCCTTTTATCCCCAAATCATCCGTTCAATCTTTTCTTTTTTCTCAGCAGAAAGTCCACGTAAGATTTCCAGTTATTAAAAAAAAAAAAAAGTTTTGGGGGTTTTTTTCCACCCCGGACCAGGTAAGCAGTCTTCGTTTTTGACTGGTGACTTCAAGCAGAATAGCGAGAGAAACATAAACTGCAAAGCTAGATATGTGGCGTCTTAGGTGACATACAGAAAGCATGGAAGATTTACAAAACTGGTATTAAAAGCAATCGAAATCATTTTTGAGAAGATTAAACCCCTTGGCTGGCTTTTGAACCTTTGAAGTTGAAGTTGATGGGTGTGATTTTACTCAACCTTGACTACTTTGATAGCCCATCATCATCATCATCTCTCTCTCTCTCTCCCTCCCTCCCTCTCTCTCTCTCATATTAAATACCACAAACTCTTCTATTAAAATGGCATGGCTGGAGAAAATCAGATGAGATCACTGGCCAAGGGGCCCTAAGGAAACACACACCACACACACACACACACACACAGAGAGAGAGAGAGAGAGAGAGAGAGAGAGAGAGACAGAGACAGAGACAGAGACAGAGACAGAGACAGAGACAGAGACAGAGACAGAGAGAGATTCCATGGTTCCTTTTACTTACGCTTTGAGTTGCCAACCATAAACATGGAGAACAGAACCATCACTTGCTGGAGCTCCATGATTTTGGAAACCAGCTCTGCTTTAGCAAAACCACATCAGGCCTCTCCTTTCAGAGGCAGCTCTGATGCAGGAGGGGAGTGAAAGGAGATCCCCCTTTACAAAGAAGGGCTTGAGTATTCAGCTCTTTTTGGCAAGCTGGAGGAGGGGCTGAGAAGGGTGAGACAGAGAAGGACAGAGAAAGAGAGAGAGAGAAGGAGGGAGAGTGGACGATGAGAAGGCATCTCAAGTAGCCCTGTGCTAGTTGATTTTTGCTTCAATATATGATTGCCATCAAGGTTTGATCAAAGTGTTAACATTGTTGGGCACCCACCCCGAGCCACCCCAGGAATATGAGGTGAGGGGACAATAGCATCTTCTGAAAGGCTGAGTTTGCAATGTGTACAAAAATATACAAAAAAGGATGCTGAGACTGTGGAAAGAGCCAGGCGTGGATCATGGTCAGTACCTGCTGGTTTCAGCATTGTGGTCCAGCAAAGGGCCATGTTGAAATTAAGCCGGGAAGATTCAGACTTCTGTTCCCCATCTGCTCTGCACTTAGGCAGCAAGAGAAAGCATCCATCGTCTTACAAGCCAAGGATTGGGCTCTCCCCGCTCACCGGCAGAAGCATGAGAAAATGTCCTTTTTCAGAAGAGGCAGCCATCCAGTCTGCTCTTTCCCCTCAGTCACCTCACCAGCCCTGAGTCCGCCGCCATTTTGTAGAATAGTCCCTTCTGATCTCTCAATGCTTCTGGGGTGTCGAATTCAGCCACTTGTCCGTTTTTCATCACTAAAATTCTGCAAATATGAGAAACGAACATTAGTCTACAAGGCCAGTGGAAAAAAGCTACCTCAGTGACTCGGTCTCCTTAAGCAACGGCTTTCGGGCCTGCTAAGCTGAGAGAAATGGGTGAATGTATTACAGGTAGTCCTCAACTTTTGACCACAATTCAGCCCAAAATATCCGTTGTTAAGCAAGGCAGTTATTAAGTGAGTTTTGCCCCGTTTTACAAGCTTCCTTGCCGTAGTTGTTAAGTGAATCTGGCTTCCCCATTGACTTTGCTCATCAAAAGCCGGCTGGGATGGTTGCAAAGGGCAATTACATGATCTGAGATGCTGCAATTGTCATGCAACAGATGGAAACTAACCAAGGAGAGAAGCAACCTAGAACTAAGGAGAAACTTCCTGACAATCAGAACAATGAACCAGTGGAACAACCTGCCTCCAGAAGCGGTGAATGCTCCAACACTGGAAGTTTTTAAGAAGAAACTGGACAGCCATTTGTCTGAAATGGTATGGGGTTTCCTGCCTGAGCAGAGGGTTGGACTAGATGACCTCCAAGGTCCCTTCCAACTTTATTATTGTTATTATTATTTTTGATCATCGCACAGTCAGCCAGATGTTCAGATTGGATTTGGCATTTTTGTCTACCTATCGAGTCCTTACCCAGGACCTGGGATAGGCAGATGTGGATGTTTGATGGTATTACAGATATCGTCGCAGGATGGAAGCAGCTCCTAGTAAGGCCGCCTTTTGCAATTGACTAATGGCGAATTTGTCAATGCCGATAATGGTGTCCAAGCGGTGCTCCAGTTGTTTTGGGATTGCACCCAAGGCACCTATTACTACTGGTACTACCCTTGCTTGCTTTTGCCACAGTATTTCTATTTCTATTTCTATTTCTATTATTTCTATTTCTATTTCTATTTCTATTTCTATTTCTATTTCTATTTCTATTTCTATTTCTATTTCTATTTCTATTTCTATTATTATTATTATTATTATTATTATTATTATTATTATTATTATTATTATTATTATTATTATTATTATTATTATATGCCAGTTGCCAAGTAACTGAATTTTGATTATGTCACTGTGGGGATTTTGCAATGGTTATAAATGCAAGGACCGGTCATAAGTCATTTTTTTTCGATGCTGTTGTAACTTCAAACAGTCACCAAACAAATGTTTGTAAGTCAAAGGCCACCTTTACTAGATAGTAATAGCTAGAATGTTGAAGATGTCTACTGATATTGAGTTCTGACTGGAGTTGAGGATGACCTTATTTTCTTTCTCTCCTCCTTTCCGTTCTACAGCTTTCTCTCTATTTTTGATAGATTTAAATTCTCATTTTCCAAGTGTATGTTCCAAATATGTCTCCTCCTGTTTTTATTTGTCTGCTCCAATTTCAAATAATATCGCCACATCTCCCTCCATTTCTTCAGGCCGTTTTATCCATTCACTTGGGAATCCTCTTCAAAGCCACCTCTTACCGGTCAAATTCCATCATGGCGTTTAGCCGATGGGCAATGGTCAAAACTGTGCAGTCCTTGAACTGACTCCTTATGGTGGACTGAATCTGCAGGTCTGTTTCAAGGTCCACAGCTGCGGTGGCCTCATCCAGAATCAGGATTTTGGCTTTACGAAGTAGACCCCGGGCCAGGCAGATGAGCTGCTGTTGACCAACACTGGAAGAAAATGGGGAGACAATGAAAATCCAAGATAATCCCTATCTACAGAATACAGAATAGCAGAATTGGAAGGGACCTTGGAGGTCTTCTAGTCCAACCCCCTGCTCAGGCAGGAAACCTTATATCATTTCAGACAAATGGTTGTCCAATCTCTTCTTTAAAACCTCCAGTTTTGGAGCATCCATAACTTCTGAAGGCAAGTCGTTACCCTGATTAATTGTTCTCCCTGTCAGGAAATTTCTCCTTAATTCTAGGTTGGTTCTCTCCTTTGGTTTCCATCCATTCCTTCTTGTCCTGCCTTCAAGTACTCCCCGGAATAGGTTGACCCTCTTTTCTTTGTGGCAGCCCCTCAAATATTATAACAATGCTATCATATTCTCCCTAGTCCTTCTTTTCATTAAATTTTCAACTAGTCAAATAGGAGAACTTGGTGGTTTTCTTGCAGACATTTTATTACCCACCTAGGTAACATCATCAGTGCACCTAGTTGGGTAACAGAATGTCTGCAAGAAAGCAACAAGCTCAGAGAGCACCAAGCACGCCACAAAAAACCATATGCCCAACAGATCTGTGCAATGCCTCAGATTTGATTACAAAATGATTCTTTAGAACACAAGTGTGGCCTACAACTGATTTAACCAACCCCCAATTTAGTACATTTTAGTACAGACCCACACTCCTCTCAACATATCCCTTTCCCTCCGCCCACCCTCTGCCGATACTATATAAGTCTCTTGCATCCAAAGTAGTCTGGATGAGACAGTTAAATTTACATTAATTTGAACTGTATACAATTTGCCGCAATTCATGGCATTTACATAACGATGCCATTATGCAAATGACATCAATCACCACAAATGACAACATTTGCAACTTAGCCACGGTGACAACAGGCCCCCGCTTTCCCCAAACACTCTGTTAAATCAAAAGTTCCCCAGGCTGTTATTTTAAGTGCTTTTTTAGTGGTCCTATCTTTGAGGATAACCTCAAAGGGTTAGGAATAAAAGTCTTAGGAATTAAACAACCATCGGCCTCTGGGTCTAATCTCCCATCGATTACAATCCATCTCAAAATTGTAAAGCCAAGTCGAAGCAAGGCACGGTCATCAGAAACATTGATGAGCCCGTAACTCAAAAAACAAACGAACAAACCAAGCCCCCAAATCGCAACAGGAGAGGTGTTTCTTCTTTCCATCTTGTGGTTTGAATACCTTAGATCTCCACCTCCTTCAGAGCACTCATAAGCCAGCTGATCTGGCAAATCTGAAACAAAGCTCTTGAGTTGGGTCTGCTCCAAAGCGGTCCAGATATCCCCATCCGAGTATTGGTCCAAGGGATCGAGGTTCTCTCTCAAAGAACCCCCAAACAAGACTGGGTCCTGCGCACAGGAAGAGAAGAAACGCAAGATATGGAGTCTATTTTCCATAGCACAAGAGCGAAGCTATCCTTGGGGATCCAGTAGATGAAGAAAGGTGAACACATGGATAAAACAAGCTTGCTAAAGTGTACAGATATGAGAAGATGCAACCCAAAATGCATATATAATGTTGACTTTGCGAGGCGTTGCAAGAAAAGAAACATTGGAGAACTGATTTGAGAGGAATATGCGCCCCTGTGTAAATATTTAGTTGCAATTCTCTTTTTGCCTTCTTTATGCTGACTTGTGTAGGAAATGAGCAGGCTGAGCTCAAGGGTGGGGTTAAAGGCATCATCAGTTTGGAATCACTGTGCAGCCACAAAAGAGCCAAGTCCAGTCCCCCGTGAATTCCATTGACCTACATCTAGTGCCAATTTGACGTGACCGTTAGTAGACCAGATTCTTGTATATGGGTAGTATGTAATAAACTTTTAGCGCTTTGAACTCAACTCAAGTTACTTGCACCTGACAACTTTGGGTTATTGCGATGGAGGTTATCTACAACATCCTACAAGATCACTAGAGGGACTGCAAAAGATCTTGTTCCCATCGTGAAAGACCGAATGAAACATCGGCGTCTGTTGAAGGTGTGGCTTGGGATATCAATATTATTGGGGGGGGGGGGGGTTAGAACAGTAACAAGTGAAAGGGATAAACTGACTTCATACCTGTGGGACAATCGTAATCTTGCTTCTCAGGTTGTGCAGGCCCATTTGGGCAATATTGATTCCGTCAATCACAATCTCCCCATCAGCAGCTTCCACGAGCCTCAGAAGCCCCATCGCAAGGGATGATTTCCCAGCCCCTGTTCTTCCAACGATGCCCACCTACAAGAGAAAAACAGAGGTTGGAGAAGGAAGGACCACCTAATGGGAAACAAGGAGAGAGAATTACTCTTCCCTATCCTGCTTTCTCAAATATAGAGGAGTATCGCCTTGTAACGTTCTCACCACAACCACCGCATGAACTTGGCTTATTAAAAAAATAAAACCGGTTCAAATATACTTGTGGATTCACTGGTCCAGCAAGGGCTTCCATCTGTATTTCACAGGTCCAAAACCAACAGCTTAATCCAGGCAACCTTGGCTCTTTTATGATTCATGGACTTCACAACTCCCATAATTCCTGATCCAGCGATGCTGAGGGGAAAGGGAGAGGTTTCCAAGCTGAGCCACGCTGGCTGAGGAATTCTGGGAGTTGAAGTCCACCAGTCATGAAAGGGCCATAGTTCCCCCATGCTGGCTCAGGAATTCTAGGAGTTGAAGTCCACGAGTCATAAAAGAGCCAAGGTTGCCTACCCCTGGCTTAGTCCCTACTGCATGCTGGATGTTTTAAGGGACCAAACTTTCTAGTGCAAGGAATAAGACTTTGGATTAGATCTGGGGTCTCCAAACCTGTCCACTTTAAGTCTTGTGGACTTCAGTTCCCAGAATTCCCCCCCTGGGGGACTAAGTGATCTTTCATGCTGGCTGGGGAATTCTGGGAGTTGAAGTTCAGACATCTTTGTTGTCCAGGATGAGAAACTTTGCTCTATTAAGTCTTACCTTTTCATGAGGTTTGATCTTTAGGTTGATATTCTTCAGAGCTAGGCTTAATTCTGGCCTGTATCGTAAACTATAGCCTCTGAGTTCAATTGCCCCTTCAGTGGGCCACCTGCCACCCTGGAGAGGATCATCCAAAGTCCACGGAGCCACTTTCTCTACGTTGCTGTTACGATCGAGCATAATCGTTTAGGGTTCTCTTCGAGTTTCTCCGTTTTGATGTTTTTTGTTTTGTTTTGTGTTTGTGTTCTATACTAACGTCGTTATTCCTGAATTTTGATGAACCCAACCGAAAAAAAGTCCTCTCAGTTACTGTCTGAACGAAGGCTGGGGTGTTAACCCTATGCACGCACTTTGCAGTGAACCACAGTATCATCTTTTCATTTTGGTGTGGTATGATGCACAAACAGAATTATTCTGATTTGCCAACTAGGGGGTGTCCAATCATATGCATGACCTTGAGGGATGAAGGGAAAAGAGAGCAATAGAAACAGTAATAACGTTCTTATACACTGCTTCATAGTGCTTTACAGCACTCTTTAAGCTGTGTATAAAGTCAGCCTCTTGCTCCCAACAATCCGGGTCCTCATTTTACGCATCTCGGAAGGAGGGAAGGTTGAGTCAATGGCAATAGCAATAGCACTTAGACTTATATACAGCTTCACAATACTTTACAGCTTGCTCTAAGCCAGTGGTTCTCAACCTTTTTAATGCCGCGACCCCAACCGGTCGTAAGTCGAGGACTAAACCGGTCGTAAGTCGAGGACTTTCCCTGCCCGGGAGCGACGCGCATGCGTGGTTCCGCCCCCTGCGCCGGCCGAGGCGTAGCTGGCAAGTGGCAGAGACGGAGCAGGCCGACCACCAGCTGGCCCAGCCCAAGGGAGGTAAGGCACCTGCAGGAAAAGGGGGAAAAAATGGCGGACAAAAAAAATGGCAGACAAAAAAAATGGCGGACAGCCTTGCTTGGCGACCCCCATGAAATGGTCGATTGACCCCAAATGGGGTCCCGAACCACAGGTTGAGAACCACTGCTCTAAGCGGTTTACAAAGTCAGCCTATGGCCCCCAACAATCTGGGCTCTCATTTTATCATTATTATTATTACTTACCTCTTTGGGGCTCTGTGAATAATCTTTCACTCTTTCCACAGACATGATTTGGTTATCAATCTCCGCCGAGGCACGCACCATCCAGTTCAGGACGCCAGTGATCTGGCAAAGAAGAGGGGGAGTCTATGACCCCCAGGCCATTGAAAGCCCCCCACAAAACCTCAGAAGTAAATGCCTTGCCTAAAGTTCTCTTATGCTGCCTACCCAGAGCTTACCTGAAGAGCACAGGAGATGGAAAAGCCCACCGTGCCAGGACTGAGATGGGCTTTGTACACCACAGCGAGCAAAGCTGCAAAGAGGACAATGGTGTCCCCCAGAATCTCAATGTTGGTGGCAAGCCATCTGGAATAGGAAATAGGGAGGGGAGCAGAGGGGAGGGGAGGGGAGGGAGGGGAGGGAAGGAGGAAGATGGAAAATGGAGGAGGAAGGGAAGGTGGAGAATGGATGAGGAAGGGAAGGCAAGGCAAGGAAAGGAAAGGGAAGATGGAGAACGGATGAGGAAGGGAAGAGAAGAAGGAAGGGAAGGTGGAGAATGGATGGAGAAGGGAAGGAGGAAGGGAAGGTGGAGAATGGATGGGGAAGGGAAGGAGGAAGAGAAGATGGACAATGGATGAGGAAGGGAAGAGAAGAAGGAAGGGAAGGTGGAGAATGGATGGAGAAGGGAAGGAGGAAGGGAAGATGGAAAATGGATGAGGAAGGGAAGGGAAGGAGGAAG